AACCTCCCGTGCATCTGGCCTATACCCCAGTTCTTGTATAAATAAATAAATCTTTAATAAATAAATAAATAACAGTATAAACAATAACACTGTTTAAATAACAGTATACTCCTATGGATGAATATAAACCCCATAAAAGCAGGAACCATATCTACCTTGTCTTCTCCAATGTTACATTGCCTGGTGCAAGAGAGAAACTCAGTAATTATGTACAGCATTAATGACTTAATTCCTATCTTATAGCCAAGGAAGTTAAGTTTAAAGAATTTAAGCAATCTCCACCTGATCACACAGGCAGTAAAGAGACAGAGTCAGGATTTAAACCCACATGTTTGACAACTCATTTCTTGAAATATTAGTGCTAGATTGGACTTTGGAAATTATCTAATCTAATAGACTGGTTTACTAATGAAGAAATGAAGCTCCGAATATTGCAGTGATTTACCCAACTCATCTATTTTGATCTATATTTTAGGGCCAGTTCCCTGAGTAGCTACATTGGTAAACATCATAAAATTACCTTCTCTGTACTTCATTTCCCTTATCTGTAAAAGGAGTCAGGTGGTCTCAGTGATATTAGTGAAGCATTCTGTATTTAAGCACTCCATCCAGCTCAGAACATTGGACTCTTCCTTTCTCAGTTGGTTCCTGCCTCCTCCCTTCATCATTTCTCTCTAATTTTAAGATTAGGAAGAAAATTACATTGCATTACAGGTACTTTATTCTGTAATCCAATAAAATCATTAGAGGAAAGGAAAGAGAAAAATAATGGTTTCTCAAGCTTTATGTACCTTTGGAAGAACAGAGTGCTACCACAGAAGCCCCCTAAAGGAAAGATAAAAGTTTTATCTCCAGCTCAGAGCTGTTGCAGAAACTATGTCTATAATTGTCATTCAGAATATCATTATCAATCCCTGTAATGAGGCAATAAATTGGAAGAGAAAAGGGTAAAGTAACATTCATAGAAATAACTGAACATATAATTCCTTGGTGTATATCCAAGAAAATGAGTAACCCCACATTTCTGTGGTATTCACTTTATTTAAACTGCTGGTGAAGAGTGACTTATATTACAAGAAGACAACCCATTCTTATTTACACTCAAAATGTCAAATCCCATTTGCACTCAAAATGCCATCACCTTGCATAACTCTACCAACTTAACCTGCACAGAAAATAAAAGCTAAATGCAGAATATGAGGAGACCTGGAATAATAAAATCACTCTATTTTCTATGCAGCCTTTTATCAAATACCCTGATTTGCTGCAACCACTCCAAGATGGAAGTGTTTTGAATTCTAAAATAGCTTCGCACCAAATGTGTCATAATTATCTGAAACTATATTTAGAATGATGAAATTTGCCATGAAATCTGAAATATGCTTCAAATGTCAGTCTTATTTTTAATTAATATGCCTCTCTACCTTTGCAATAATCAAGTTTTACAGTCTCTGGGTGCTGAATAACTTGGATGATGTTTGTGTATGTGAGTATGTGTGTGCATGAGCACATGTATGTGCTTAACCTCACAATTATTATAATGCTGCTCTCCTGCAGATCCATCCTTCTCTTACAGATTGTCAAAGAAAATCTGATTTTATCCTATTGGTGTATTTGTCTATAAAACCAAATCATGTGAAATGAAGTATCTTGTCATACCAGTCACAAGTTAACAAAATTCTAACCATCACATCTACCATCCTATCATCTGATATTTGTTCTAAGAGGGCAATATATTATAGTGCTTTAGCCAAACTGATTCTTTTTAATAAGTCTAGTGAAGGGCCTCCCCTGGTGCTGCAGCGGTTGAGCGCTGGGTTGCAAAGCTGCCTGCAGCCTCTGCAGCTGCCTGCAGCCTCTGCAGCGCCGGTTCAATCCCGGGCTGCTCCCCGGACACTGGAGGAGGGTCCCACATGGCGCTCAGACCTCTCCTGCTGCCCACTGCTCCCCTCAGCAGTGTACTTCGGTTCTTCTGCCTGCTCTGCTCCCTCCTCTGGCTCTGGTGAATTCTGTCACCCTCCTGTGCTTCTGACTATACCCAGTGCTTGTATAAATAAAATAAATAAATAAATAAATCTTTAAAAAAAAATAAGTCTAGTGAAACAAGTGAAAGTTGAGATTTGAAAAATATGTTTTTTATTTTAAAAGGAGATAAGGAGTTTTGAAATACTGATGAAATATATTCATAAGAATAGTAATCAAATATATCATTGTCCTTTTTAGTTCGCTTCTGTTTTCAACTGAATTTTTGAATATTTTTAATATTTGATAGAATTTAAACATAAACAGTCATATAGAACATGGAATTGCAACAATTCTATCACCTTCTCAAATTTCACAGCATGAATAGAAAACTTATCTGCTGATAGTAACTTTCTTTCTTTCCCAGATTCATTCAGTGAGAGAGATGGCGATTTTCTGGGAATTTTACACATAGATGTATAAGTTGAACTGATGTCTTGAGACTTCTCTTATAACAAATAGTGAGATAGCTTGGAAAATGTCATGGAAAGGACATGACAAAGGAACAGACATTACAAACAAGTCCACAAAGTCTTTAGTGTATGTGGGAAGTAGTTGCTGTATGTTGTTGGGCCAAAAATATCCATGTGGCTCTTGGCACTGACCTAAAATGGAATGTGTAAGAATTGGATTAAAGTCTCCTACAGCATTACAGCACTGTCAACAACAGGAATTCCAAACAATCATTCGGTATCTATTCTCAAAGTTATAGGGTTAGGTAGTAGAAAACATTAATGAAAATAAAAGATAGATCTTTGTAAAGATAAATAAAATAGTAGACTAGCCAAGAAAAAAACAAGAGAGGACTCAAATAAATAAAATCAGAATAGAAAAGGAGATATTACAACTGATAATCATACAAATATAAGAGAACCCAAGAGACTACTATGAAAAATTACACACAAGCATATTGTACAATTAGAAGAAATGGATATATTCCTAGAAGCATACAACCTTCTAAAACTTAATCACGAGAAATACAAAACACAAAATAATTACTGAATACTAGGAAGGAGATTTAATCTAAAACCTCTGAACAAATAGATGTCCAGGACCAGATGGCTTCACTATTGAATTCTACCAAGCATTCAAAGAAGAAATAATGCCAATCCTTCTCAAATACTTCCAAAAAATAGAAGAGTAGGGAACAATTCCAAACTCATTTTACAAGGCCAGCATTACACTGATACCAAAACTATACAAGGCCACTACAAAAAAATACAATTTCAGGCCAATATTCCTGATGAACATAAATGCAAAAATCCTCAGTGAAATATTAGCAAATCAAATTCAACTATACATTAAAAGGATCATACACCACAATCAAGTGGGATTTATTCCAGAGATACAAGAATGATCTGCAAATCAGTGTGATTGGCCACATTAAAAATGAAGGATTAAAAAAAAATTGATCCTCTCAGTTGATACAGCAAAAGCATTTGACAAAACAACTTCCAAGGTGGTAAAAGAATTCAACAAAATGTGTATAGAGGTCATGTACCTAAGTATAATTAAGGGCACAGAAGACAAGTCCACAGCTAACATCCATCTAAAATAAGAATGCCCACAGAAAGACAAAGATGCCCACTCTTGCCATTTAAATAATGACCTATGAGCCATTATAATAGATTTCTGAGAACCTACAAAAAAAGGAACTATTCCAATATAGGAGAAAGAAAAGAGAGATGGAGAGAAATGATTTTTGATTATGTGGTTTCAATTCTCAATATACATTTTTTAACTGAAATGTATTTGACAGGGTCTCCCTGGTGGACAAGGGGTTAAGTCTCAGCATTATGAAGCAATCCGCAGTCACTGCAGCATAAGTTCGATCCCCTGGCCAGGGAGCTAACCCACATGGTGAGCAGACCTCTAGCGTGTCTCCTGCTGCTCCCCTCAGCAGTGTATTTCAATGGATACGCCTGTTCTGCTCCCCACTTTGTCTCTGGTGAATCCTCTCACCTACCCGCACCTCTGGCCTACACCCCAGCTCTTGTATGCATAAATAAATAAATTTAAAAAATGTGTTTGACACATAACATTGTGAAATATAAGGTGTACAACATGTTGATTCAATATCTCTCTATAGTGCAATATGATTGCCATAGTAGCAATAATTAGCACCTGTAACACACTACATAATTATTTCCTTTTAGTAGTTGGAATAATTAAGATCTAGTTTCTTAGCAAGTGTGATTATTATAGTACACTATTACTTTCTTGATTCACAGTACTGTGCATTAGATCTCAGGGAATTGTTTACTACTTGTTGCAAGTCTATACCTTTAAAGGATATCTGTCCTATGGCCCCTCGCATTCCCTGGAATGCACAATTTTACCCTTTGTTTTTACAAGTTCGGCTTTCTTAGGTTTCATATATAAGTGATATCGTAGTGTACTTTTTTTTGGTCTGAATTATCTCACTTATCATCAAGTCTTCAAGGTCCATTAAGTCACAAATGGTAGGATGCCCATCTTTCATACTGACTAACTTGAAGCCAGATGTACCCCTGGCATTTTTTTGCTAAATGAAATGATGCTCCTTACTTTTTTCTTTTTCTTAGTGAGCTTTGGATTGGGTTTTCTTTCATTTGCAAATTAGATTCTTAACTAATTATTTAGATAAACAGATAGATATACATAAAGACAGGTCTCCTTTGTCAGTCTTCTAACTGGATTGTGTATTGAGAACCAGCTGTGCAAAAAGCATTTGCCCAGAGTCCTGAAGGCATCACACTTCACCAGCAGTAGTCAGGCAAGAATTTACTATAGCCAAAAGCTGCCAGGAAACACCTATGGTTAATCAAGTTGGGGGATTTAGTAGCAAGAAGACCACCCACCATGCAGAACTGTGGCTGTCTCACTTAGTATGAGAATGGTCTGTGGCAACTGAGAGAGGGGCTAAGGAAGTAGGACTAAAGACTATCTGGGCGCGCCCGAGCGCCCTGCCCGGCCGGTGCGCGGAGTCGCCGGGCCCCATGGCCCCCGGGACCCCGGCCCCGCGGCCCGCCCCGGGCCCGCGCCGCTTCACCTGGGCCGAGGTGGAGCAGCACTAGGGGCGCGAGGGGGAGCGCTGGCTTGTGGTCGAGCGGAAGGTTTACGACATCAGCGAGTTCGCGCGCCGGCACCCGGAGGGCTCGCGGGTCCTCAGCCACTACGCCGGGCAGGACGCCTCCGACCCCTTCGAGGCATTCCACATCGACAAGGGCCTGGTGAGGAAGTACATGAACTCGCTCCTGATCGTAGAGCTGTCTCCTGAGCAGCCCAGCTTCGAGCCCACCAAGAATAAAGAGCTGATCGATGAGTTCCGGGAGCTGCGGGCCACAGTGGAGCGCATGGGTCTCATGCAGGCCAACCACATCTTCCTCCTGCTGTACCTGCTGCACATCCTGCTGATGGATGTCGCCGCCTGGCTCACTCTCTGGTTCTTTGGGACGTCCTTTGTGCCCTTCATCGTCTGCGCCGTGCTGCTGAGCACAGTTCAGGCCCAGGCTGGGTGGCTGCAGCATGACTTTGGACGCCTATCTGTCTTCAGGACCTCAACGTGGAACCACCTACTGCATCATTTTGTGATTGGGCACCTGAAGGGGGCCCCGGCCAGCTGGTGGAACCACATGCACTTCCAGCACCATGCCAAGCCCAACTGCTTTCGCAAAGACCCAGACATCAACATGCACCCCTTCTTCTTTGCCTTAGGCAAGATCCTCTCTGTGGAGCTCGGGAAACAGAAGAAGAGTTACATGCCCTACAACCACCAGCACAAATACTTCTTCCTGATTGGGCCCCCAGCCTTGCTGCTGCTCTACTTCCAGTGGTATATTTTCTACTTTGTCATCCAGCGGAAGAAGTGGTGGACTTGGCCTGGATGATCTCCTTCTACGCCCGCATCTCCCTCACTTATGTGCCGCTGCTGGGGCTGAAGGGCTTCCTGGGCCTTTTCTTCCTGGTTAGGTTTCTGGAGAGCAATTGGTTTGTGTGGGTGACACAGATGAACCACTTCCCCATGCACATTGATCACGACCAGAACAGAGACTGGGTCTCCACCTGCAACGTCCACAAGTCCCCCTTCAACGACTGGTTCAGTGGACATCTCAACTTCCAGATTGAGCACCATCTGTCCCCCACGATGCCGCGGCACAATTACCACAAGGTGGCTCCCCTGATACAGTCCCTGTGCGCCAAGTACGGCATCACGTACCAGTCCAAGCCTCTGCTCTCCGCCTTTGCTGACATTGTCCACTCCCTGAAGGAGTCGGAGCAGCTCTGGCTGGATGCCTACCTGCACCAGTAACAGCCGCGCAGCCGAGAGAGGAGCCTCTGGAGCCAAGGCAGCGGGGAGCCGGAGGGGCAGCACCACTACACTTCTAATATTGGGGGAGACCGATCCAACTCCTCCCCCTTCTCTTCCTGGTACAGAACTCAGATCCTGAAGGGGTGCAGAACATGCACACCCCCTGGAAGAAGGGATACAGCTGTGGGCAGGGCCGTGAGAGGTCCCTGCTTCTTCCAGGTTGGCAGATGCAGATGGCTGGTGAGGAGAGGAAGCCAGGAGGTGTGTGAGAACAGGGAGTCAGGGAAAGATTTAGCACTAAACCTGCCCCAGGGTAGGGGTGAGCCAGCCTCACGGGTCCACCCCTCAGTGCCTTCTCCACCCTTGCACACCAGCTTCAGACTTCAGAGGTTCACAGGCTGGAGGGAGATGAAGCAGCTTAGCCTTTTGTGCAAGATTTAGGAAGACAGCATTAGTGCTTAGAATCCTGAGCCTCTCCATCCAGAGGGCCAGGGGAACATCAGGTCCTAGTCTTGACGAAACAAGTCACTGATTAAAATCCCTTAAGTTTTTGAGTCACTTCTGACACCACCCGCGCTCCCAGGAAGGGGAGGCCGCTCCTTGCTCTACAAGCAGGTGGGACAACTCAGTCCTCTCCCTGGAAACATGACCCCTGGTGGTGTCCACTGCTTCCCTGCCTATAATTGCAAGTTTAATAAAATAGCCATCAGTGAGCACAAGGGACTGCATGGAACACAGGTGCCTCGGCCACAAAGCCTGTAAAGGAGAGGGGAGATCGTCACAGCCGGAACCACCGCGGTACCACATTACTGCTGAGCAGGAGCGGTGGGTCCTGCTCAGACCAACTGTAGATCTGAGCCAGAAACAGGAAGATCAAAACAGAGAAGCTTATGATGGCCACTGCTCTCTGCAGGCACCTTGTGTCTTTCTCTGCGGGAGATCAGGTAGGAATTTCAGATAATCTCCTATGGTCTAATATGGAAATACAGTTTTTTAATTCTGGTTTTTATAAAGTAAAACAGCTTAACCTCCCTCTAGAGAGCAGAAATAGGCATGTGCCCCAGGAATCATTCCTGGTCCCAGGGCCTGTCCTCAGCACCCACGCTTCCTTCCCTACGCCCACAGACTTTCCGCCCCAGGGAAGAGAGAATTCCTGCATCTGCTCAGCAGCATCTGCTTTAGGCATTATTAGCATTTTGGACACTGGGACAACTCAAACTTCAAGAAGGAAAAAGCAGCAGAGCCTTGTGCGAGTTCATCTTTTGTTTCAGGAGAGAATGGCAGACAGGGAGATGGTCTAGGGGTTGTTCGGGGGCCAGAGGCACCGCCTGTGGGAAGGCTCATGATTACTTCCAGGTTTGTCAAAATACAGGCAGGTTAAGCAAGCGGTGGAGACCTGGCTGTGAGTTGGGATCTCAAACTAGAAACTGAATGGAGTTCCACTGTCATTGGCTTCCTCCCTCCAGAATAGGTGCGGACCCTTCTCCATCCCTGTTCCCTGCAGTGTCGCCAGCTGTCAAGCCATCTGGCTTAGGACCCAGGCTGCCCAATCTGAGCAAACCCAGCAAGGCTTACTGAGCCAAGTCCAAACTTCTAGGAACTTCCTCAAAGCATCTCAACCACTGTGGCCTTCTCGCTTCAGCCTAGACCAGCGTGGTCCCACATGGCCAAGGGACAGACCAGTGACGAAAGGCTCAGACTGTTTGTAACAGTCAGATGAGTGGTCTCAGCCAATCAGATGGCAGATGAGGACAGGGTTAGTGGGCAGGGCACCTTTTCTTACAGGTCGTGGCAGGAGTAACATTTTTAAAAACGCCAACTTGTACGTTTATCTTTGTTCCCTTTATCTTCCTGTGACTTTCCTGGAGGCAATTTCTTTAATTAGGTCCAATATCAGTATCCTCTGTGTGTATGCCAGTTCTCTGTTACATCCCAGTGAAGTACAATTGAGAAATAAAGTTAATTCTGACCAAAAAAAAAAAAAAAAAAAGACTATCTGAAAGCAGCAACAGTTCTACAATCGGTTATCTCAATAAACCCAATCTTCAGGGAAGGGAAGCTGGAGGAAGCATAAAGCTGTAATTGGCATGTAAGCGGCAGTCATTCATAACTGCTGAGAGGGAGAGTGCCTAGTATTTTCTGGGTTACACAGTGATTTTAATTTTCTCTGTCCTCAGCAATATTATGATGTAGTCTTGAGTTTTCTCATTTTAACACAGGCTAAGAGTAGTCTTGCCTGATGTTGGATTTCCATGAGATTGTTTATGTCCCACATGGTTTAGCTGTGAGCATGAGGCCAACTTCTAACAGCACTGAGACCTGGTTCTTGGAGAATACTGTTCTACTTTTTCTTGATGAGTAAGAGACGTAGAATTATAGTAAAAGGGCTTTTCAACCCCTTTTGAATTAAACTTGACTTTCTGTCCCAGCAGTCACTCCTTGCATAGGCAGAGCAGGAAGTTGCCATCCTACTTATGTTTGGAAAGGACTAAGAAGACTTTAGTAAAAGTCCTTAAGTTTTCTGCACCTGAATAACGATGCTAGCAATCCCCACAAGGATCAAAGTCTCACTTTCTAATGAAAGAAATGACATGAAATTTAAATTCCTCAAGGAAAGGCAACACATTATTTAACTCTCACCTCTCTCATTAAAGAAATGGTGACACCTGAAAACAGTATTTTTATCATTAATCCAAAAGTGAGCACAAATGAATTTCATTCCTTGATTCAGCACAGCATTTACGGAGGAATTCTAAGTTCTCTCCTGGACAGGTGATGACCTAGTTCCCCTTGATGATCGTCTGTCTTTCCCACCCATTACAGAGAGGAACACCAGAGGCTTAAGAAAGGACAATTCTGGGTCCAGCTTAGTTCATGGAATCATAGCCCAGGAATCAAGAGGCTGGGCTCCCACCTCAAGGAAATGTAGCCTCATGATTCATTACCTGCACTGCTGAGCTGGGAGGAAATCCAATAAGCTTTCCAAGCCCAGAAATTTCCCCCCACAAAGTTTAGGGTCATGTATAATTTTTCCTGTGCATACTACAAATGTATCTCTTTAATTTCCATGAGGGATCTTAGTTTCTTTCTTTTCTGCTACAGAATATTGTCATGCCATAGTGACTTCCCTTCTGAAAAATCCTGTTCCTTCAAAGATATCAGACCACAATGTGTGGGAAAGTATTAGAATAAATTGAACTCTACCAGAAGTTTCTATCACTCTCTTTGACTTCTCATTTACTTTCTTTCTGAAACAAGTACCAACCCCTTCTAGCCACATTTCTTGTCACTTGCCCTTTTAAGAAAATACTGGGGTTGAAAAAACCCAAGTTTGATTTCCTTTGTTTTATTGTTACAAAATTCTGTTCAAGTATGTATGATAGTCAGTATGCTCTTTGATCTTTCCATCTAAATTATCTCCCTAAACTGGAATGTAATCTCATAGATCCATTTATTCATTCAGCAACAAATCCATTTATTCATTCAGAATTGAGAGCTGCTATCAGGCCAGTGAATGAGACTGACACTGAGCCATTTTGTGAAGAAACAAAGACTGAGCAGTTGTAGCCTCTTTAGTGACCTGGGGCAGCAGTTGTCTTCTCCATGTTGAACCTGCGAGTAGAAGATTCAGAATGGAATCTCTTCTCCTTTCCCTCTCCTGTAGGATTTTTTTTTTTTTCATCTCCACTCACGCTTTTTACTTTTGTGAGGAATCTTATCATCAAACACAAAAGCCAGGAATGTTACCTATAAGACAGGTCCACACTCCATGAACTTGCATGTATTCACTGGAAATCTCAATGCATGTGGGGAGGAAGTCTTAAGCCGGGGTAATCTTCTTAAACTACGGTAACATTGTGATTTGGTCTGCTCGTAAGGCTTTGCCTTTGTTCAGTATGTTAATGAAAGAAATGCTCAGGGCTGCTGTGGCAGGACAAGATCACAGAAACATTGCTGCCCAGGATTGAGATATTAATCTGGCTGCAGAGCCAAAAATGAAGCAAGGAAAAGCAGACGTCAAACGATCGGCAGGGGAGACATGTCTCTTGTGACTTGCATTTTGACTTTTGAGGGGAATATTAAGACAGGATTTATAGTTATGTAGCATGTGTTCCTCGTCTTCCTCCTATTGCTCAGGTTGGAGTGCCCTCGAATCAACAGTGTACATCAGGAAACATCTCACAAAGGGGCAAGAGTGGCTTCAATTCTACAAGTGGAAAGCTAGGATCTTCTTCCAAGACTGAAATGTTGAAAGGAGATGACCATGAGACTATTTAGAAGGAGTTGACTCAGATAAAATAAAAATGGATTGTCTCCTGGAGAAAAGTTGAAAATGAACAGGGCAAACAAGGAGTCGAGATTTTGACAAGTCAGAAGAGGAGTCGAGTAGCTCCCTGAACAGATGAGACTAATGTGAAGGTGGAGTCTGATGGGGGCTGCAGATGACTTCTGAGGAGGGAGACTTACTGGATGATGATGATAATGAAGATGGGGGAGTTGAGCACTGAGGATGACAGAGAAAGTATCAAAGATTTAAGGATTACTCTTAAGCACATAGTAAGGTTTAGAAATCATATCCCATTATTTCTTCACCTTGATACTTGTCTAAGTCAAAAATTTCCCCCAGTATCCTCTCCCTTAGTATCTTCAGCACGTGCTCACTGTTCTCCCCAACTTTGTCCTTCTCATGCTCATTGATTCATATTGCCTTGCACCTAGTCTCACTTTCATTTCCTTTGATGTTCCTAGTGCTCCTAATTTTACCCTGTAATTTTTGCTTTTAATTTGGAACCTCTTTATGACTTAACAGTAAAAAGGATGTGTTGTTTTATAAAAGAGAGAGATTGATATCAGATAGTTCCTTCAATAATAAAGGGAATAGAAAAGAGCATGAAGGCCCTGGATGTAGGAGACAATGGATAGAGGGGGCTGGTCTCACAAAGAGAGGCAAAAGACAAAAAAAGGAGGCATCAACTTTCGGGACCTTCCCAATCATGGGAGAGTCCAATTGGAATAGTCAGTCCTGGCACTTCTGCTCAATCCACTATAAGCCAATGAAGGTAATACTTTTAGGAAAAGCACTTAATCATGACCCTTAGTATATAAAGACCCTGGCTCCAGGCTCTGCCATGGTGACCAAGAAAATTCAACATTCTGATCTGAGAGAATAGGAGAGCAATGTGTGACTGTGGAAATAAAAACTAGACAGTAAAAAATGTAACTCTGCAACAGTGTGGTCCAAGAAATCCCTGAGGTTTGGAATCAGATGTATGTTATAGGATAAGAATAGGTATGTTAATCTCATGCAACCTTATCCTTTGGGTTTCTTTGGCATTTTTAAGTGAAATGATCTTATTTTCAATAACCTTAACAAAATTTGAGTGTGAGGGAAGCATTAAAAAAAATCCATATTTCATCCCAGGTCAATGTTCAGCTCTGTCTACTTTAATTTTTAAGACAATGTGCAAAGAGGTTCATAAAATAACAAAGAACGTCTTTGCTAATGGTGAAATCTGCTGTGCAGTGGGGCATGTATTTTGAAAGCACTTTAACTTCCAACAGAAATGAGATTCTTGTGGTTTTTTTCCCAGGTGGGAAAAAGGTCATTGTAAAAATTGTTTAAGTTGTCCTCAAAATTATGATATGTTTAGAGGGAAGAAATTAAAATTCATACAAGAAACTTTTGGGGATTCAACTTGTATATAAGCATATGTGTGCTTTTTTCCAGTTTTATATTCTTTATTTTTATAGGAAATTGTAGCATTTTAGGTATTTGAGAGGGAGAAACCACAGAGAG